GAGAGAGAGAGAGAGAGAGATTGACACTCTGTGATCGGCTTGGGTTCCTCGTCCTCGTGTTGCTCACTAAAGGCCGACCGCGTGCTCGACATGCCCGGCCGAAGCAAAGAGAGCGTCCTCCGAAGCGGGGAGCGACGCTTACTCGGATGTCGTCTCGGATTTCATTGACGAAGACACAACAGCCAGCGCTGCCGCCCCGGAGAGGTGAGGTGGGAAGCGGAGCCGCCTTTCTGAACCTTTTTCGCGGCTTTACACATCCGTAAAAGCGTCGAGTACCGAACAAAACCTCGCGAAGCGTACTCGGGTTACTATACTGCATACAGTACCGGGTGATTCAGAACACCGTCGGCGGGTTTGCCTACTCTGTCCGTCCGTAAGACGCGGTAGCCCAGAGGGTATGAAATCCCGCACCACTGCGGCGCGTGCTCTGAATCACCCGGTACAAGTATGCAAGACGCCGAAGAACAATAGGGTGGAAAATGTTTGTTGTGGTCGATACTCACGGTCATGAGAACGGCGACGGGAAAGACAAAGGTCAGGATCATCCCGCGCTGAACAGCCATCCAGCAGTAGCGGTGAGTCTCGTAGGAGCGGGGCTGGGCGGCGTACATGGCCTGCAACACAAACAACAAACAGTTCACGCGACCATCGAGCCCAAAAGTCTTCTTACAATGTTTTCCTTGCTTGAGCGAGAGATGCAGATGAGAAAGTGCGTCCGTATCCCCGAGACTGTCTCTAACAGACGGCAAAGTGTTCTTGTTTTCTTTTTCCTCAGATTCAGCAGGGGAAGAAACGGTAGCAAGGCGCCTGCGAGACTCGGGGTAGTCCAGCCCGCAGTACACGCATGCGCTGCAGGCGAGATGTTGCCTACCTACCAGGCGCTATGGGAGCTTGCAGCGTCTGAACTTGGCAGCAAAGACAGCCTTGCAGTTTGGCTTCGTTGGCCGGACCATCATGCACCCTAAGGGCCGAGGGGCCCCACCGCGCCTCCTCGGGATCTTGCTGCCGCCAGGGTGAGCACCCCAAAGCGCCTTATAGGGCCCTACCCCCGCCCTACCTCGGCTGCATCAAGGCTGACCCAAGCCACTCCAGGAGGGTCCCCATCCTGAGAGCTTCCAAAAGGACCTCGCCTCCTACTCGGGTGCCCACAGCTGGTCCCAGGGTCCGAACCCTAAGGGCCTACCCCACCTCTTCGGCTGCATCCGGCTGCTGCCCCCAAAGGTCCCCGCACCCCTAAGGGCCTAAGGGCCCCCCAACCGCCCCCCGACCCGCCTCCTCGGCTGGGTGCCGGGGGCTATTAGGCGTCGCCGCACGTACCAGCTCCGTCCCCAAACTCCTTTCCCTTCCCTCCCTCCCCCCTCCTCCCGCCCCCTATAGATCCAAGGCCAGGGGGAGCATTGCCAGTGCTAGCCCATCCATCCGGCAGAGGAGCAGCGCCAAAGAAAAGAAGAGGGTCTCTCTCTGGCTCTGGGTCTGGCTGGCTCCTTTCCTATTCTTTCACGCCGCACCCCTTCCCCTCCCCATCCTCCTTATGCCCCCAACCTCCTCTTCTCTAACACACACTGATCGAAATGTATTGACCAATATTCTTCTTCCCGCGAGGAGAAGCGGCAGCAAAAGTGCGTCGTCGCGCCCGCCCACCTCGAGACGATACTCTCGAGGCTGCACTGAATACGATACTATCGATTCTTCCGCCGATACCCATAGAGACCTGGGAATCGACTTGCGCGTGACGCGCGAGTTTGACCTGCATTGTTTTCTTTGTTTGGGGGCGTCGACGGGTCAACAAACTCGTCTCTGCAAATAATATCTCACTGGTTCGTAGTGAGGGTAGTGAGAATAGTGTCTGGACGGGGCGCAAGAGACCGGAAGTGGACCGGAAGGCAACTCGGAGAGACCGACCGGAACTCTGCTCGCCTCCGCTGCTCGCGCGGCTCCGACAAGGGGCCGGCGGCGCGCGGACGTCTGGTTACGTGGAGGGGGAGGGGTGGGCAAAGGAGAGGAATCGGATCACATTAGTGCCGCCGCCCCGAAAACAGACAAGGAAAACAAAACAAGAGGAGCAAGTCTAGAAGGATGGCCTGGAGCTGTGCAGGGGGCAGGGGCGGGGCGCGGCGGGGTGTAGCAGGGCGTTCCCCGCCAACAGCCCGATAATCAAACGGCACTGTGCTGTATCTGTGTGCCCGCGTCCGTGTGTGTGTGTGTGTGTGTGTGTGTGTGTTTCCTCTGTGGGCGTGAGTGCGTCGGTGTGTTATTTAATAAAAATTTCGCGCCGATCTCCCAAATGCAGCCAAAGGCGAGGGTGCTGCTCTCAGGCTGGGCCCCTATAGGGGCACTTAGCAGCAAACGGGCAAAGTTTGTGATTCATTCGGTAGAAAAGTTGGGTATATTGCTTGGGCTATCGAAGGCGCGGTGGTAGCGAAGTGAACGCAGGGGTAGAGGAGAAGAGGGGAGGAATGCAAGGGGGGGGTCGCGAATAACGCTTCTACCAGCCAATACGCCACAGCGAGGGAGAACATTGTCATGGGGAAGTAGCCGAGCGTCAACCTATTGTCACCGTAATGTGGAAATGGGAATGGAGGGAACAAGCGTTCTCTGCTCGCTCCATCCCGCCTGTCCCTTACTACATTATGCTCCGAGCAAGAGCGGCCACAGCTACCGCGCGAGGAAAATGTTATTGACGGGGGAGGTTTTCACGGGAAAGTTTGTCACGATAAAGTTTTAGCAGAGAGGTTAACATTGACGCGGTGATTTTCTCAAGTCATAACGCTTGTCGGGCTCAGCCGACGCCTGCCGTTCGGCGAATAGGCAACACGATACGCTCCACCAGACGCGCACCCTCTCCGCGCGGAGGCGACATCTCGGCCTGGAGTAAACTGGGACAAGAGTTTCAGGGGTCGAAAAAATAAAACAGAAAAGAAAAGAAGTATCAGGGGACAGGGAATCGCAGATTCAATAATGTTTTTGGACAAGAAGTCTCTTAACCTGCAGGCGGACATGTAGGCTCTTAGAGGCTGCGTAAGCACCCAGACATGAAGGGGACAGGAAGTGGGACAGTTTGCGACCACATGACAAGATGCGTCAGTCGAAATTGTATCCTTGACAAATGACAAATTTCACACATGAAAAAATTGACAAAAATGACAAAAATAAAAAAGGGGAAAATGAGAAAAATAACCATAGGACAAAATTAACAAAAATGAAAATAACAAAAAATGACAAAAAAACGACAAAAACAAAAAATTACAGGCAGGACGAGAAAAATGACAAGAAATGTCCCTTAAAGTACGCTGCTACTTACCGCCACGAGGACGGCGGGCACGGCCCAGACGGAGATGGCGACGGGCTTGAAGTAGGCGGGCAGCTGGCGCGCACGGATGCGGTACGAGAGGAAGGCGGTGTTGGCGAGGAACCAGCCCGCGGCCACCAGGTGCAGGTAGTGCAGCGCGAGCGCCACCCACTGGCAGCGCAGCGGCTCGCCCACCGACTGCACGCCCAGCATGAAGACGAGGTTCTCGACGATGAGCGCCAGCTCCACGTTGAAGAGCACGGCCGTGGACACGTCCACGTGGCCCGGCCGCATCCGGCGCGTGGCGGACGCGAGGCAGAGGAACTGCGCCACCAGTGCGAGCGCCGCGCCCACGATCACCACCTGCGGGCAGGCAGGAAGTCGTATTGTAAAGCCACTGGAAGAAATTACACTACTAACTTCAAACAATCACATACTTATAAAACAACAACAACCCTATTTTGAACATTCTTATGAAAGGTTTCGAGCAATAAGTACAATACGGTAACATAAAAAAATGTCTAACGTTTTGTAATGGTGATTTCCCCATTTTTGGAGGGGATTGCCTCAAAATCTTAAGAATTTTTCGCAAAAATATGGACGTTAATCAAAGATTTCCCTTTGTTCTTAAAAGAAATCAGACATAATTTCTACCGGCGTGAAAGGAGTATCCGGCTCGTGTGCGTATAGAAAATGCCGTATGGACCAAACCATTGGACCAAACTGGGACGCAAAACCGTGGGGGATGAAAATGAGGAAATTTTCGCTCTGCCCTAAGTGGGCTGCCTCCCTCAGAGCAATCAAATAAACGCCGCTTCGCCCTGAAATCCGTTTCTTTTTAATCTCCTCCTTCCCCTTCTAGACGGGGACGGGGGCGGGGCGGGGCGGGGCGGGGCGGCCCGGCAGCCCCGCGGGCACGGCCCAATGCTAATGCCCCGGCGAAAGTCTCTTTTCGCAGACATCTCTGGCCGACCTGAACGCCGCCGCCAAACCCACGCGGCTCAGCCATGCACAAGCGGAGCAACTCCTTTGAGCAGCGCTTCGCCAGCAGCAACTTAATGGCGGTGCTTCATTTCCAGTGTACGGCGGTGAGGAGGATTGGGAGGGGGAGGGGAGGGG